GAGAATCTTTGTCTTCTTGACATTGAGCCTCAATCCATGTTCTGGATAGCATTACAAAAAGCACATTTAAAACTCTAAAATAAAAAAGAGCATTACTAATTTTTATTTGCATATTACTAACTCTCATCTTCAAAACAATAAGGCAGTATCAAAAGTATAAAGCAGTGTATGGGACCAGGGAGAAACTCACTGCATCTAATAATGTCTAAAGAACAGAATTTGCCCAAGGATAAGGCCTAGAAAGCAGAAAGTGGGGGGATAAAAGGATGAATGGAAATGAGAATCATAGCGAAGGAGTGGGTACTAGAATCAATGTTAGAAATCAAAATGCATATAAATGAACTCTGTTGAATTAAAAATCAATTTGCTTCATAAATATTAAATCAAGTCACAATTAAAAAGAGTCCAAAATCAATTTCAAACAGTCCAATAAGACAGGAACTGTTGTTGTTGTTAAGAGCTGTCGAGAAGTAGATGACTGACTCATAGTGACTCTATAAATAAAAGACCTCAACACTTATACAATTTTCATCATTTCTCCAAGTTCATAGAGTTTCTGGAGACAAGCTATTTTGGAAGTAGATGCCACTCCTGCTTCCAAGCTTGTTTTAATCTGGGAGCTCCACCAAACACTGTCCACCATGGGTAACCATGATCACATGTGACACATCAGTTTCACAGTGTTTACCATCACGACAACCACAAGTTACTTCTGTACAGCAAATTACAGGAACTACTGTTCTCATTTTACAGTTGCAGAAAATAGTATCAGTAACTTGTCAATTCACATAGATAGGAAATGGTAGAGTTGTGATTAAAACTTGGGCAGACTAGTCCCAGTTCCCCTGTGGGACCTAGGGTGTAGAAGGAAACATGGAGGACACCGGCATATAATCCAACAAGGCACCATATGAGTATCAGGATCCAGGGGTTATGACAAAGAGGTACCTCTAACTGAGCATGCTGTGGTCAGAGAATCCTTCATAGAGGCCAGGCGTGGTGGTGTGCAGCGGTGCTGGGTGATGGACACAGAATAACCAGAGCCTGGGAGCCTCTCTCACTCTCCGCTCTCCTGCCTCATCTTTGCACTTGCTGGCAGCATTGCTCTGATAAAGTGGATTCTGAGATTAGAAGTTGCTTTATACATGTGAGTGTATGCCAACATTGTTCTGAAAAGTCGTGTAAAGTTCTGAAAGAAGCTGAAAAATTAGCCCGACAAGGAAAAGCTTCCCCATTTTCCAATAATGGCTTTCCTGACTCAGCTGTTTGTTGTTGTGTTATGCGCCAAGTCAAATCTCTTGCAACTCATAATGACCCTATGTACGACAGATTGGAACCCTGCTCTATCCTGAGCCAACCTTATTATCTCTGATACACCTAGCCCCCATTAACCCAGTCACTGAATCAATCCATCTCTTTGAGGGTCTTCCTCTCTTTTTTTTATTTTTTATTATTTTGTGTGCGTGTACCGTCAAATCAGATCTGACTGGTACAGGAGGATATTGTGCCTCCTTCTCCGGCAGAGCATCTGGTGGATTCGAACCGTGTTTCTCTGGGATTGCAGTGCAGCTTCCTGCCACTAGGCCACCAGAGCTCCCCTGGTCTTCCTCTCTTGAGCTGTCCCTCCACCCTCCCAAGCATGATGCCCCTCTTCAACGACTGCTCCCTCCTTGCAACATGTTCAAAGTATGTCAGACAGAGCTTCAGAATCCTTGCCTCCAAGGAGCAGCCTGGTTTCAATCTCTCTATGACAAACCTGTTTGTTATCCTAGCAGTCCATCGTATATTCGATACTTTTTTCCAACACCACAGTTCAATTCTCCTTCAATCATCCCTAGTCATTGTCCAGCTTTCTGCTGCATAGCATGTAATTATGAACTGTTTAGATGAACTATTAAACATAGCTAGGCTGAGATTATCCTTAATCCACTGCACTCATCTGAACCGTGGTGGCTGGTGTCATGTGCTCTCAAGCTGGAACCAGCTCATGGCTGACCCCCAGCAGGTTTTCAGAGGCTCAAACAGCACAGAAGGAGGTTGCTCATCTTTTTCCCGAGGGGCAGCTGGTCGGGTCAAAGCACTTGCCTTTGGGTTGGCAGTGCAGCTCCATACCCACTAGGCCAACAGAGCTCTGAAATGTGGTGGGAGCTTTATATTTCAAGGAATACACTGTACTGAGCATGGCCAGATCAGCGTCCCCTTCCTCCGGCTGTCTTGGCTGCTGGGACAAACTGAGGCAGAAAAGGAAACTCACAAACTGCGGGGCCCAGGGATTAAGGAAAATGGGTCAAGGGAACTGGGGTGGTGATGAACTAGAAAACACAAGCGTGTCTATAGGGGTCTGCTGCTCCCCAGCTTTATGGTTGGAGTGGTCCTATGAAGCCAGAGCTAAGCCCCCATC